TTTTTTTTTTTTTTTTTTAAATAAAGGTAGCTCCATGTTTCCCTTTAAGGATATGGTAGGTGCAGAGTTGCTGATTCCTTCAAATCATATTTTTAAAAATATCCTTTTAAATAGAGAAATATAAATATTTGTCAGATGATTGTGTAGTCTTTGATCATAGAGAGAGCCATTGTGCTAGTCTGCAAATAAAAAAAACGGAAACTGAGGCTCACAGGGAAGTAGGTTTGATCATCTCAGGAGAGATTGCCACATTATCCTATGTTGGTCTCAGGTTCAACTGTGGAACTGGAATTGCAACAATTACAAGCAAGGACAAAATTAAACTGGGCAGTTGGCACAGCGTGACTGTATTTAGAGATGGAGTGGATGGATGGCTTAGTTTGGATAACAGTCCTCCAGTTTCTGGTAAATCTCAGGTGAGTTACTGTTGATTAAAGGCAATAATATAGTTTGTTCTACAGTAGAAAGCCAGAATCCTCAGAATCGGGCTGTCAACTACTGAACACATTACACATTTCCTTAACTTCAGGTTGAAGATGCTTTAACCATTCTTTAAGGACATATCTGCATGTCACAACCTTTCTCTCCTCCAAGGCTGGCTAATGTTGGCTATCTTGGATGTAATGTAGAAATGGTGTTTTCCATCTTCTCCTAATACTTCTGCACAATGTGTTGTGCTTCAGCAATGACTGCGCTGGATGACACAACAGGGATTGGCATCTGCCCAGCTTCTGTTGGCTGATGTAGACACACCCTTCCTCTCCATTTGCTGCTGACTTCCTTCCATATCCATTGATTTGTGCTAGTGTTGGACTGACATAACACAAGGAGAAGAACTTCAGTGCCAGTATCCCTAGAAAAAGCCATAGAGGAAGACTTCTTTCAGCGCTTTCTCTAAGGGTATTGGCACTTCAATTTCTGGAGCACCTGGACCAGGATTTCAGTGTCCCTCTGGAACATTCTCCCTTCAGAGATTAGGATGACCCCAATCCTGTTGGCCTTTTGTAAGGCCATGAAGACCTGGTTATGTTCCTGGAGCACTGAGTGCGTTAAGGGCCCCATTTCTCAGCTATATTAACATCTATGGCAATAGTTTTATTTGGTGGCCATATATATTTATTTGTCTTGTTTTAATTGTTGTGTATTTTTATGATTGTATGCCGCCCAGAGTCACAAGTTGAAATGGGTGGCTATAGAAATCAAATAAATATTTAGAGAGATCCTGATCTACTGCATAGTGAAAGCCTAGTCTACCATTTATGCGTGTCTTGGTCTCCTGTTCCGTTTAGCAATAAGAAGATCTCTCTGAAGCAAACTGTAAAGCTTCTGACAGATAGATAAACCTGATACTCTAGCTATCTGCTAGAACTCACATCTCCCCTCCAGTGCCAGCCAATGTTAAGGTGGAAATTGACAGGTGTTTTTCACAGTGGCTAGGAAATCCAGCAGTTTTTATGGCTTCATTTGCCCTGCCATAAACTCTTAGGACAGTTACACTTGCTGGTCTCATGTTCAAGGCAAAATAGACACCTGCTATGTAGGCAGAGCAAATTTATGCTATATTCACGGACTGGAGTTAGTGTTAAACCATCTATCTGGATGTGCCCTGTTTTCTCAGAAGGCCAACTGTACCTTTTGGGAACGAGAACTTCATTTAAACTGTCACCGGCCTATACTATTCCTAGAATCATTTGCAGAGTCTCTGTCCCTCTCCTTTCCTTAGTTTTCCAGATGTCACTAGGCAAAAACTCATTAGACAATTACTTTTGCTTTACCTTTACCACTTGGGAATAAAATCCGTCTTAAAATATCTCAGAATCAATAACTGCTGCTTCCCATCCTGTTAAGGAGTAGTGCAAGGGAAAACCTTATAGCAGTGCCAGCTTCCAGTCTTTAATCAGCCAACCATCCAGAGGCCTGACATAGCCATTTGTGATCTTACATCTAGGAGATTAAAGATGATGATGGAAGTACAAAATAAAATTAGATAGAGTGTCTCTATATCAGAACACATCAGTTTTTCTTTTGGTGTATTAACATATCTAAAGAACGTCGTATTGCAACCAAGGAAGTGAATAGTGAAGGGACGTGGTATCTTAAACGGCTATATAAGCCATCCTATACAGAGAAAGCACAGCTAAAACCATAATTGAATCAGAGATAAAAGGTCTTTTGCATTGCCTTTCCTGGAAGAAGATAGACTGTAGAATCTAGAGAATGCAGCTTCTTCGGACAGAAGGAGCTAATCAAAATACTTGCAAAACCCTATAGAAATGGAGGAAATGAATTCCCCTCCTAATTTCTGCTGGTTCTAAAGCTACTGTAGTTATTTCCTCATTTCAGGAGTGTTTCTGCCAGCAAATCTGAAATCTCCCCTGACCCACCACTGATGCCACTGATGTGCTTCTAGAACTTCTGTTGTCCTTCTTTTGCCTCTTTTAGAACAATAATTGGAGAATATTCTATTACTGGTCAAAGGAGGAGTTCTGCACAAAACTATGCATTTGTGCAAACTGAACAGTTTTTCCACCAGAACCAGCAGTTTACCTTCATCTAAAAGAAAAAGGACACTCATTTGAGGACCATAATGTTCATGTTTTGGACAGAGAAGATAGGTGGTTTGAGAGAGGAGTGAAGGAATCCATTTATGCCAAAGT